TTCTATTCTATTCTATTCTATTCTATTCTATTCTATTCTATTCTATTGATTTGGCAATAGGCAGCTCCCTATGTCCCCAGGATCCTAGTCACCCTCAGCAATTTGTTAAATTGTTATATTCTCCAGGGCTACAAAATACAGGGACAGTTCTTTTAATTATTGTTCAAAGAATGTTTTGCTCTTAATTTTTGTCAAAACATGTGCAAGAAATAAATGAACTGACCACTTCTTAGATTTTGTTTTCCATGAAGAGCACAGTAAAAAAATAGTTCAGGTCTTCTGCCGATCTACTTGGAGGCTTTTTAGACCCATTGCATTAAGTAGCATCTGTCTGAAATCACAGAGCAGCTTAAATTTTTGTGCTTCCAGCTTATCATAGACAGAGAAGTCCAGGTACCTTCCACCTGATGCAAACTTTTGTTGGATCCATATATCACAAACCAAGAGCTTTTCAGGCTCAGTTATATCTATTGCATGCCAAAGTCACATGTATCATGAGATAAAATGAAAAAAAAAGTCAGTTATTCACTTACGTCCACAATATGGGATGAAAATCCAGTCTGGGACATTTCCAGGCCGAAGGATATTTCATTTTTGTTGGTGCCTAAAACACCAAAAGGAGATATTTAAAAAAAAATGAAAGAAAGAAAAATAGGTTTATTACCTGCCATTACAGTTGAGTGATGAAATTCGATATAAATATTACAAAGGCCAATAGGAAGATTTGTGAGCATGAGCCCAGAAAATAAAAGCAGAGAAAATCCTATCCATCTGTTTTAAAGTCTAAAGCTGAAAGTTGGAATAAATGGCATGTAAATTACCTTGTCCCACTTTGGCTATCAGTTCAGGCATAAAAATGCTGCGTTGCATGTGAGATTAGCCCTTCCGCGACCCCATCATTCATCCCAGTGATAGGCTAATGTCCACAGCAGAAACGATGAGGACATTCCTAAATCGTGGCACGGTGAAGATGTCTGGATTTACTGGCTGGGGAATTCTGGGAGCTGAAGTCAGACATCTTCACCTTGCCAAGATTCAAAAGCACTGACATAAACATATGCAAGAAATTTGAGTGCAGATTAGAGTTCTTGGCCGTTTTTGAGTTAGCATCCACACTCAGAAATAAATCACAGAGATGAGTACCTTACTTAGAGCAGATTGCTGCCGTTTAAGGAATCTCCAAAGCCAGAGGTCTCCAAACTTGGCAACTTTAAGACTTGTGGACTTCAACTCTCAGAATTTCTCCGCCAGCTATGCTTGAAGTCCACAAGTCTTAAAGCTGCCAAGGTTGGGGACCCCTGTCCAAAGCATTTAGAGTTCTGTTGAGGGTGACTGTCATAAGTGTCACTGCAAGCACTTTAAAAACTGCTGAAATAGGGTTGAACTGTAACAAAAAGAAATATTTTTGTACTTTGCACGTGATTGAGGTCTAGTAACCTGCTCAAAATTCGGGAAATTCAAAAATACTGTTTAAAAACAACTTTGCTTCGATAATGCAGTGAGAAAAGCCAGAGCCAAAGATTCTCCTTCCTACATCCATGGAAGTCACACCCTACTGATATCTCTAGGTCCTCATGTAGCCAGGAAACAGGAGTTACAAAGTTAGACTTTTCTTCCTTCGCACAGAGCCCAAGAGGCAAATGCTTAAAGCACCTCTCTGGCTGTGGGGGACTAACAAATGCAGTCACCATAGACATTTCCAAACTAATTCAGAATACAGACAGTTTGGTTTAAGGGATAAACAAGGCTGGGAACCAGGATGCCATGATGGCTGGTCCTACCTAGGCACAAAGCCAGCTGGGTGACCTTGGGCCAGTCACTCTCTCTCTCAGCCCTAGAAAGCAATGGCACACCACTTCTGAAATCTTGCCCAGAAAAAGGCTTTAGATAAAGACTTGTCCAGGCAGTCTTTAGGAGTCAAGACTGAAGGCATGTGTGTGTGCACGCGCGCGCACTCACTCACTCACTCACTCATTCACACACACACACGAATACTGAAATGTGAGTTGCAGAATGGGACGTCTGGCTCTTGGGAAGATTCCACCAGGGAACTTCATACCAAACGCCTGTGCACCATATTCAAACTTTCTCATGCTGTAGGATGGAGAAGTGAGCCTCCTACATCGTCCTTGAGATCCCTCAGAAGTTGCTCACCTTCTAAGCTGAAAATCCTCTCCCCAAGAGCATCCACGATATCTTTAAGGGCAGCCTCGTCACTGACGTTAAAGAAATGTTTTTCATCTGGGTCACTCGCTATATATTTGATTTCTTTCAAAAAGGCTGCAGGGTTGATCCCTCTCCTGTTGTAATAACCAAGGACCTGGAGTGGCAAGCAAAAGATATCTCAGCATTATCATTACAGTCACGGTGGAAGTATTTGCAAGGAAGCCAGTCTGGTGTAGTGATTAGGGTACTTGGCTAGGAACTGGGAAACTTGGCATTTTAGTCTTGACTCAGGCACAAAGACCAAACCCTGAGTGATCCTGTATGACCTTGGGCCAGTCATTTCCTCTCAGCGGATGGAAAATTATTTTTGAAATCTTGCAAGAAAACTGCAGGGACATGTCCGGACAGTCACCAGGCTCAAAGGCTACAAAAATAATAATAATTACAAGGCTAGTTTTCAAATGCACAGGTAGAGGAAAAATTCACCCTTTTCTCAAAAGAAAATGTTTCTTTTCTATATTTCTGTTTTCCCAGGTCTGTTACAGCCTTCTCAGATGTGATTGGAATTGCCTCCTGGGCAAGGCAGTAAGATAGCGAGAGCAGGGGCATCTTCTTCTGGGTGCTCAGCGTTTGAAAATCCTCTTGTTTCCTGCTTTTTCAACCTCAGCTGTGCCGTGCAAAGCGGCTGAGGAGGGAAAAGTGGGGAATAAAGGACAGCCTAGAGCCCGGGCAGGTGGGGGGGCCAAACACCAAACCGGTTCGGTGTCAGCTGCTCTTTGCAGCTACAGGTTCTATAGAACTGGGCCGAACCGGTAGCATCCCACCTGATCCACTTACGTCATGTGGGTTATCCATCAAAAATCGGCAATCTATTTTAAAACTGAGGCCTTCAATCTTTTCCTAGCAGGTGGACTCTGAATTCACAGCCATTTCAGTACAACTCTGAAGGCTCCAGGCAAAAAGCGTGCGGCCCCCATAAATGACTTACGGCCACGGCGTATCTGGTGACGTTGTCCTTTTCGCTGCCTTCAATGGCCTTCTCAAGATCTGGGCTGTCGTGAGATTCTCCATCAGTGATAACAATCATAACCTTCTTTGCACCCTTCCTCCCTCCTTTCTGAAATGCTTCTGAGCTGAAATTCAAGAGACGCAGAGAAGTTGGTGAGAGATGTGGCGTTTTGCAAATTAAGCATGACTATTTTCCAAGGAGGATCTCGGTGCATTGTGTCCGTGGCCCCCGTGATTTTCCTGGGCTTTGTTTAGAAAGCAGGTGCATCTTCCTCTGGGCACCAGCAACAGGGAGGGAAAAGCCCAATATTAGATAACATAAAAGCCAAGAGTCATTGCTCTACAAAAGCAGGAAGGAATGTTTTACAACAAAATATTTTAAAAGTGATTTCTATTCCCCTGACTCATTTGCTTTAGAGCAAAAGAATACTTAGCAATAATAAAGCCCCTTTGTGTATACAAGGCTCTGTTTATATTAGATTCTCAATCTCTTGTTGTTTTGTGATCTGACACAAAGAAACTTGTACGTTATATTCTCTTTATACTCATCTGCTATTTTTTAAGGTCACCTGAATTCTGGGGAGGTTGTAGCACAAAGTAAAACCAAGACTGGGAGAAAAAGAGAGGAACGGGGAACGTGCCTGTAAGAACAGTCTGTCACTCTCCTGTGCTAAAGGTGCTTTTTCAAAAGGCAAAAAATCAACTGTGAGGCACATGCAAGCACAGTGAGGTAAGTTTGCCTGCAGCTCATGTGCTGGACAAACGGCTCTGCGTGCCACCTGTGGCACTCGCGCCATAGGTTCGCCCTCACAGGTATAGAACAGAATTATTATTGTTCTTTGGTTGCACCTGCTTGCAATTAGAACGCTCCATAATTTCCAGAGAAAAAAAATATGTTTTCATTTCCACAATATGTTAAGTAGGGAAAGAAAGAAATTCATACTAGATAAACTCAGAGATACTCTCTTTTTAAAATTGCTTTTGGGGCATAAGCATTCTGGGCTGCGTATTCTTTAATCTTATTCTAATTGCTGCCTTATCTTAGTATTTCTCAGTAGCAAAATAAATTCAGTGTCCTCTAAATTATAGGGCATATTAGTATTGTCTATAATGTTTACTTTGCTTAGAGTTACCTCACTGCCTTAGGATTTTGGAGATAATATGCATGCTTGTTTTTGCTGTCTGCTTATGATGTGTTTGGATCAGAATGCATCCATGACCTACCACACCTGGGTTAAACTGCTAAGCTCCATCGCTGCCCAATTCCCGTGCCCGCCTAAGAACACATCTGAACAGACCCTGGGAAGTAAGCTTACCGGGCAAACTCTATTCCAAAGGCCGTTCGGGTTTCAGTCCCCCCTCTCTGCTCGATGTGTTTAGCAGCTTCTACCACATCCTTTACAGACCTATAATCGTTCAGGTGAAATTCATGGACAGCATCCTCTCCATACTGGACAACTCCAACCTTGTGAAAACATTGCAGATTATTGGGGTGAGAAGCTTATTTCGTGAAGGAGCCTACGGAATATATTACAAGGAAATCCTACTTCTGAACACTTTTCTTGTCTGTCTGTTTGTCTTGTATAACTTTAAACCTTTTTTAAAACTTTAAAACTTTGACAAACAACTCAAGGCGGCAAACACATCCAACACGCTTCCTTCCTCCTACTATCCCCACAACAACAACCCTGTGGGATGAGTCGGGCTGAAAGAGAAGGATTAGCCCAAAGTCCAACATCTGGCTTTCATGGTAAGAACTCTCCATCCCCCGCTTTCTAACCTGGTGCCTTAACTAGTAGACCAACTTTAAGGAGCTGCAGACAGGTGCCAATGACTGGGTGCTTCAAAGCACCTTTTGCTTTCAAATCCAAATGCAGCCCAGTCTACTACTTATGACTTGGTAATTTCCCAATAAAGTGAGCTGAAGTCATTCGAATCTCATTCCAGCGAAGTGAATCAAGGTTATAATGTCCAGCCAACACTGGTGAGCTCTGCTCCAAAATATGACCACAAGTCAAAACCCAGTCGTATGTGAGCCTGCGAGTACCGAGAGATTATTATGCTTTTAAAAATAGATAGATAAAAGAGATTATTATGCTTTTAAAAATAAATAGATAAAAATAAATTATGCTTTTAAAAATAAATAGTGCCAATTTATTATTGAAGCCAAGGGGCAAGTGGGACATATATAGCCAAAGAAATCTATGAAATGAAGTGCACGCATGTTTTGTCACCTGTATCTGGCCTGGTCCAATGTAAAATTTCTTCAAGATTCTTATCAGGAAATGTTGAACTTCTGCCCAGGGGTAGATGCTGTTAGATCCATCCAGTACGATAATTATATCCATGTATGTCTGGCATTCTGCAACCAGATGGAGAAAGATCATTAAGGGATATTGGCTACCAAAAAGGAGTGGAATAGGCTGCCAATTCCTTTCCCCTTGGAGCAAAGGAATCTTGGAGCAAATGCCAACCGTTTCTTCTTCTACTTTGAAATCTCATCTCTCCACTTTTTCCTTGGGTCTATTGTGTTTCTGCTCTATGTTATTATTAATACAACAATACCAGACATTTAACATCACGATTCTGTGTCTGACCACTCAAAGTCCTCTTCAATTGGATAGCGCTTCTTTCCAGGTCTCCAACAGAGCTAAGCAACTTTTCCAGATCCAAGGACCATGCTACAATCTTTAGGGGCTGTGATGGTCCATGCAAAAAATAAAATGGCTCTATCTAAATGTAAATTTAAATAAATTTATTTCACAATGATTACATACAATTAAATGACTGTTCCTCATGTTTACATTGAGGTGACAGTTTTTGGAACTGTGTTGGAGGTTGTATACAAAGCTTTTTAGCAGCTAGATGTAGCTCCGAGGCTTAAGAATACACACCATTGATGTGGCTTTCATGGATAAGGTGGGATTAGAACTCAGTGTCTCAGAATGAGCTAAGACTTGCAACAAATGCCAAAAATAACAGAACATAGAACACAGAATAACAGGGTTAGAAGGGACCTTGGAGGTCTTCTATCTAGTCCAATCCTCTTCTCAAGCAGAAGACCCTATACCATTCCAGAAAAATGGTTGTCCAATCTCTTCTTAAAAAACTCCAGTGAGAAGTACCTAAAACTTCTGATAGCAAGCCATTCCACTGATTAATTGTGAGGAAATTTCTCCTTAATTTTAGGTTGGGTCTCCTTTTAATAATCTTCCACCCATTACTTCTTGTCTTGCTCCCAGGTCATTTGGAGAGGAGGTTGACCCCCTTGTCTCTGTGACAGCCAATCAAATATTGGAAGATGATGTGTCAAGGTACAACTGTGACAGCGGTGGGATTCAATTTTCTTTACTACCGGTTCTGTGAGCGTGGCTTGGTGGGCGTGGCAAGGGAAGGATACTGTAAAATCTCCAGCCAGAGGTGGGATTTGCCGGGTCTCCGAACTACTCAAAATTTCCACTACCAATTCTCCAGAACTAGTCAGAACCAGCTGAATACCACCTCTGAACTATGAAAATAATAGTTATAGTTATGACGTACAACACTATGTATTTAAAAGAGACTACACTCTATGACTAAGAGAATAATAGTTATAACCAGGGTGTATACTACAATGTATGTTTAAAAAGGACGATATAGCCAGTACAAAACTGGAAATGCCATTGCAAAACTGGAAATGTGATGTATAATAACGAAAAATGTACAATAAAAATATTTTTTAAAAAAATATTGGAAGATGATGATATGCTATCATGTCAACCATAGTCCTTCTCATTAGACTAGATATACCTAGTTCTTACAACTGCTTGTCATATGGTTTAGCCTTCAGACCCCTCAATAAAAACAGTTTCTTTCAATATGTAAAAAGCAACCAAAAAGTCAAGGAAATGATCGGTCCACTAAACGGAAGAGGTAGTGGACTGCAGGGGAAAGCAGAAATGCTAAATTAATTATTTGCATGTATCTTTACACAAAAGGAAAAAACAGACCAACCTATCAAAAGGTATCTCAAGTCTAGAGGAGAACTAAGGGTGACATGGTAGCAGTCTTCCAGCAAATGGGAGGTTGTTACAGAGAAGACGGGGTCAACCTATTCTCCAAAACACCTGAGAGCAAGACAAGAAATAATGGATGAATATTATTGAAGTGAGAATTAAGGAGCCTGAGAATTAAGAATTAGAATAATTAATCAATAGGTTTGCCTCCAGGTTGTGGGTTCTCTGGCAGTTTCCAAGAAGAGACTGGTGACCATTTGTCCAGAATGGTATAGGGAGTCCTGCTCCATCAGGGGTTGCATTAAAAGACCTACAAGGTCCCTTCCAATCTCTTATTCTATGATACTCCACACATAGCTGAGCAATAGTATCCTCCTTGAATAACTGACAAGACATTAAGAATAAGTAACAATAGGAATAGCGCTTAAACTTATATAACCGCTCCATTGTGCTTCTCAGCACTCTCTGAGTCATTTACAAATGCCAGCCTATTGCCTGCAACAATCTGGCTCCTCATTTTACTGACCATGGAACAATGGCCGGCAGAGTCAACCTCGAGCGGGTCAGGATTGAATTCCTGGCAGTGGGCAGAGTTAGCTTGCAATACTGCATTCTAACCGATGCACCACCAGGGCTCTTGTATTGAAAATATGGCAATGGATGAAGCGCATAATAGCTAGGGGGAGAAATTCTGTAGCATCCCACTTCCCTGTCTTGCTCTGAGGGAGAGCATGCGATTATTTTACTTAATGGTTAATCTAGGGCTGCCCCCAAACAGTGAAAGGGGGACAGAAAAAAATGTAGTTTTTGAGGGCACTGCAGTTTCTGATCAAGAATTAACCCTTTGAAATTCTCCAACCAATGTGTGGGCCTAGAAATAAACAGGTGGAACATTTCTCTGAATTTTCCAGGAGGTAGGAGAAATTCTGCACCTATTTTCTAGGAGTAAGATTAGTGGAGATTAAGAGATTAGTGTAGAACTTTGATAAAAAAAAATATAGGCCCTTGAGGAACTTCCAAATATTTTTTTTCCTGGGATTGAATGGAAGAGCGTGGAGCCAGGGAGTCTGCAGAGATGTGACCCAAAAGGCAAAATATCCCCATAAATCCCATTTGTACAGTGATTAAGTGCAAGGACATCGCACGCATTTTTCTTTCCTCGGATTGAGTGAGGGCTGGTAAAGTTCTCCGCAGGGCATTGCCAAGAACGGTCTCCTGACCATTTGTTTTCTTCACTTTGCTTCTTCGCCGGAAAGCAGGGATCAAACACAAGCCTCCTGGCTGTCTGGGGGGAGCGTGGTTGCCCCCACCCCACTGCTGCCCATCAGGAAGCGTATTAACCACCGTCAGCACAAAAATCCCCATCGGACAGGCTTCTTTGCAAGAACAAACTGATTTGCTTCCCCTAAGATGGTGATTCGAAATCCCCCAGGCGGAGAGCGAGAGAGGGAAGAAGGAAGCGGAGGAGGAGGCGGGGGGGGAGAGAAAACGTAATAGGCTGATCTTCCTACTCTGGAGAGCTGGAGCCACTGACTTGGAGTATCTGAAGTTGGAGTTCACTCTGGAGCACATGCCTGTGGTGTAGTAGGAACTTCCGCACTCATGAGACCACAGAGGGCTGCAAGCCTGTGTCAGAAAGGAAGAAAACAATGACATATTAGGACACGTTTTCTGTCAGTGGCCTGGATAATTTCTGTGGAAGTTGGGGGGCATTTCCCCGTGAGCAATAGATGTTTGTCAAGGTGAAAGGAAATCAAAGTCAGCTATAGGAAACAGAATCTCTGCCCAGGAAAGGAACTCTCTAAGGGCAGAGGTCTCCAACCTTGGCAACTTTAAGACTTGTGGACTTCAACTCCCAGAATTCTCCAGCCAGCAGAGCTGGCTGGAGAATTCTGGGAGTTGACGTCCACAAGTCTTAAAGTTGCCAAGGTTGGAGACCTCTGCTCTGGGACATGGCAAGTTTTAGCAACCTGTCTTCTAATCATACAGAATAATAATCACAAGAATGGGGTATTTCTGGTCTAGTGTAAAGAAGGACCAGGGGTGACACGATAGCAGTGTTTCAATATTTGAGGAGATGCCGCAAAAAAGAGCGGTCAACCAATTTTCCAAAGCACCCGAAGGCAGGACAAGAAACAACGGATGGCAACGAAGCAAGGAGAGAGAGAAGCAACCTAGAACTAAGAAGACATTGCCTGACAAGGAGAACGATTAACCGCTGGAATGCCTTGCCTGTTGTGGGTGCGCCACTTGTCTGAAATGGTATATTCTGGGTTGGACTAGAAGATCTTCAAGGTTCCTTCCAAATATTTTATCCTGTTAATTTTTCCGATTTGCATGAAACCCAGAAACTGCCGTTGGAGGCAGCTACCTTATAGGAGACTGAATGGTGGGCTCCAGGTCAGAAACCCCTGAAGATAATCCCAGCAAAAAGAGTGTTTGTAAATTATTCACACATAATTTCTTACCAAAAAGCTGTTGTCTTTGGGGTTGGTGGTTAAGCTGAGACCCAGGCGCATGTTATCCTTTCGTTCCGACACATTGGAAAGCGTTACTCTTCCTTGGGAAAAAAGTGTCACAGTCAAGACATGCTGTGGGAGAAACCTCACAGCCTGGTGTCTCCTCATCACCACTTTTCTCCTCGACAACTGTCACCCTTTCTCCCCCATTGACCCTACATCTGACTGACTAGGCGCTGTCTGTTCCAAAAACTCATGGGCCTACAGGTCCAGTCTCAGCTACAATACTGGGAATCGTATTTCAGTAATACAAGGTGGGTTAACGTTAACCTGCCCTGGATAGCTTTCTCCTTCTGGCTTTCATGTTCTGCTCACCTGTTTAAGAAAAAAAGTTGGTGAGGTGAACATACTTCACTATGTTCAGCTCACCAACTTTTAATCATAGATAATAGACAACATCTACCTTGAGGTGACTTGAGTTTTGCATGTAAATATAAACCTTCTGGCTTCTAATACTTTCAGAGCAATACCCAGAGACAATAAGCTCAGCCCTTCCATTCCATAGCTTTACCTAGATTGAGCTTGGAACAGGTGCTGTTGGTCTTGCCGTTCACTGAACACTTGTAGACATCTCCCGTTTTTTGGGGCCCATTGATCTCATAGGGAGCTCCTACCACTAGCCTGGAAAAGAAAACAAAATCTGTACATTTCTGGCCTTTAATTCAGGACAACAGCTGAGAAATTCTGTCTCCACTAAATCCTTAGAAATGGTTTGCTCTGTCCATGCAAGGAGGTTGTCCTTTGCTCCAGTGAGGTGTTTCTTGGAGCAAACCATTATTTGTCTTCTTAGACCCCTGCAAGGTTAGCGGTATAGAAAAATGGTGCGCTATTTCTCACCATTTGGGGAGCAGAAGCATTAAAAAGTGTTGTTTGAGCTTGAAGGTAGGCTTTACACGGTTTAAAAAGGAAAGGAAAAAAAATCCCTATCCTTTCATGACCCTGACTTTTTTCTTCTTCCTTGCACCCTCACTGTGGCCTCCAAAGAAAATGTTAACCTCTGCGTTCAGCTACCCAGAGATTGCCTATTCCTGTGCTAGAACAAAACAGAAAAAGCCGCAACATGAAAGAGCTACTACATCTTGTCCCCTTCTTGACCTGGGGTCTGGATGCCCTTATGTTCTGGGCTGATTGAGGCTGCTGGTTGGGAAATATTTGCCAGCAGAGATGCAGAGGAGATGACTTCTCGGCACTCAAGCATGTCCAATGAAGAAGCTGGTCTGACTTTAGCAGCTCCCCAAAACAGTCGGGAACCAGAAAAAAATCTAAACAAAGACTCATTCCTTTTGGAGCAAAAATATTTTTCAAATCATCCAAATCAAATGCTGGCAGGAATAAAACTCTGATTTCATGCTGGCTGGTTTTAACGGAAGAAAGAGTGCAGTAGAAAGTAAATTATAACACTTGGTGCTATTTTTATAAGTTAAGTTTGTTCTCTGCCCCCTTTCTACATGACCATTAGTTTTGCCCTACCCCCCAAGCCCTCAGGAGCTGCCAGCAGTGACACCAAGAGCCCAGAAGCAGAAAGTGAAGGTTTGTGAATGTGGGAAAACACCTAACCTGAAGTGCAGAGAACTGCAGCTAATTCCTCTGGAGCAGCAGCTGACCTGATTAACTTCTGAAGTTAATTGGTTGCTCGGCTCCACATCTAAGACCATCAGAAGCCCACCACGTTGGAAGAATTGTATGTGGAAGGCTCTGAAGCTCCTCTGAAGCTGTATACCGTAGAGTCTTTTAGATCAGGTCTCCTTGAGCTTCAGTTTTGTCTTTCGAATTCCGAAGTATCCTGGAAACGCGTAGAGGAAGTAATCTCACGTTGGAAATGGATCTCTTTCCCAGTCTGGCAAAGCCAGTTTGATTCACAAACAGGGATCTTGGAGGCGGAAATACTGATTGTCTGGAAGAGCCCCATAAATGCATATATAAAGATTCCAGATTCAGGATACTATTCTATGCATTTAATCAAATAGTGTTAGGGCTGTGCCAGCTTGGGTATTTAGGAAAGAAAGACCCTCAACTCCATTTGTAGTGTAAGGGATGCTTTTACTAAAGCCAAGTGGGTACCGTGTAAGCAAGCCAGATCTTCATATTCCTGTATAAACCCAGTGATTTTTCCCTTCTCCCATGTCCTTCCCCCTTGGTCATTTTTGTTAATGTCCAATGGTATTCAAAGTAGATGTTTTGGTAACAGTTCTAAAGTTTGGTGCCTCTTTGGTGGGTATTTGCATTCCATTCTCACACTTGTGCCCTTGGATCTTTCAGCCGTTGGTTCTTGCCTCGGGATGGCACCTCTGATTCCTTTTTTTAAAAAAAATGTATTGGTTTTTTAAAACAAACATAAACAAACAAAACATAAAAACATCAAGCTATCTTCCATAGGTGTACATCCAGTGTGCCGGTTGGTTTACAAATTGTTTTGTGCTTCCATTTCGTGGTCTTCAATTACAATTGCATTACATATAATCTCACATTGTCAATCATAAGCTAAATACCTTAGTATCATTATTAATCAATCATTTGACTACACTTTTATTCATTCATATTTTACAAGATAAGCATAATTTACTTAATTTATTTTATAACAGTTCATATTATCATCCCAAATCTATCCTAAAATCATTTTGTAGTTATAATAAGAAAAAAGTACATCTTTATATATTTATTATTTTCTAAAAATCTACATATTTCATTACTGTACTTTGTTGTCTAACCATTGATAGAAAAGATCCCAAATTTTATAAAATTGTTTACCCTCTTGTTCTCTAATTTCAAATGTCAATCTACTCATTTCAGCACATTCCAATATTTTCTTAATTATTTCCTCCTGTGATGGTATTTTCTCATTTTTCTAGTTTTTAGCAAATACAATCCTAGCCGCTGTTAATACATTTACAATCAAGTATTTCAAGTCTTTACTATATATTTCAGGTAAGATTCCCAATAAAAATATCTCTGGTTTCAAGTCTACATGTTTTTTCATCATTTTTTCCAACCACATGTGGATTTTAGTCCAGTATTTTTTAGCTTCTGCACAAGTCCACCACATATGGTAATATGAGCCAGGTGTCTGATGACATTTCCAACATTTTTCGGATTTATTCTTGAACATTCTTGCTATTCTTGTCAGGGGAAAATGCCACCTGTAAAACATCTTATACAAATTTTCTTTATATGCTGTTGACATTTTATAATTTTATAATTTTGAGACCACAATTTTTGCCATTTCTCTAAATCAATCCCATATCCAAAATTCTTCCCCCAAGCAATCATAGTTTCTTTAACTTGTTCTTCTTCTAGTTTAATTTCTAATAGATATCCATACAATTTTTTAATCACCTTTTCATCAGTACCTGTCAAAATCTTATCTAAGTCAGTCAGTTTATCATAGAAACCTTTTGTTTTAGAATCTTTATCATACCTTGAATGTATTTGCGCATATGAAAACCAATTCATCTTTATACCTTGTTCCTCTAGTTTTTGCATAGATTTAAGTTCACCCTTTTCATTCAGTATTTCACCATATCTAACTGTTTGTTCCTTTATGTATATTATAGGATACGAGAATGCTTCAATAGTCGATAACCAGACTGGAATTTTCAAATAACATTGTCTTTTAATCTTCTCCCAGTTTAACCACAGAGACTCCCGTATATAATGTCTTCTAAAATACCCCTGTGTTTTAGTTCCTTTGTACCATAAAAGAGCATGCCACCCCAACAACAAATCATGTCCTTCTAATGTTAACAATCTAGCACTTCTTAGGGTTATCCATTCCTTAACCCACATCAGATTTGTAGCTTGGTAGTACAACTCCCAATTAGGCAAACCAAATCCTCCTCTAATTCTAGCATCTTGCAAAAGTTTTAACTTTATTCTCGCTTTCTTACCTTGCCATATATATTTCAACACAATTTTATTTAAATCTTCAAAGTAGTCTTTTCCAAGCCTAATTGAAATTGTTTGAAACAAATATAAAATTCTGGGTAATATATTCATCTTGATTGTTGAGATTCTCCCTATTAGTGAGAGTTGTAAGTTTGCCCATTTCGCCAAATCTAGCGCTATCTGCTGTTTAAGTTTAATATAATTATTCTCTTTTAATGTACTGCATCTTGTGTCAAATATATCCCCAAGTACTTGATCTTATTCGTGACTTGAATTTTCAATTGGTCTGCCAGTTCTTCCTTTTGTCTTAATAGCATATTCTTTGTCAAAATCTTTGTCTTATCTTTATTTATTTTCAAACCAGCCACCTTTCCATATGTCTCTATCTTTTCTATCAATTTTGATGCTGTTTCTAGTGGGTCTTCTAAGATAAAAACCAGATCATCCGCAAATGCTTGCAGCTTAAATTCTTCCTTTTTAATTTTCATCCCTTTTATATTCTTTTCATCTCTAATATTTCTGTTTAACACTTCCAAAGTTAACACAAACAAGAAAGGTGATAGTGGGCACCCTTGTCTTGTTCCTTTTCTTATATTGATAGAATCTGTCAGTTCTCCCTCTATCATTACCTTTGCTGTTTGCTTATAGTACATAGCTTCTATTGCTTGGATAAATTTTCTAGCAAAACCCATCTGTTCCAACAGTAATGACATGATTCGCCAATTCACATTATCAAATGCCTTCTGTGCATCTAGAAATATCAGAGCCATTTGTTTTTCAGGATGTGCCTCGTAATGTTCCAAAGTATCCAAGATTACTCTCATATTGTCTTTGTCTCTTTGGCAGAAATCCATTTTGATCAGGATGGATAAAATTATTTAAATATTTTTTAAGTCTTTCTGCCAATATTGAAGCAAAGATTTTGTAATCTGCATTTAGTAGAGAAATGTGTCTATATTCTTAATTTGTAATGGGTTGGCCTCCTCTTTAGGAATAAGTGTAATATAGGCTTCTGACCATGATTTAGGTATCTTCTTCTTTAACATAACTTCATTCATAACTTCTAGCAATGGAAGATTCAATGATTCTTGTAATGTTTTATAAAATTCTGCCAGAAGTCCATCTGGGCCTGGTGTCTTTCCATTATTTTGCTTCTTGAGTGCTTCAGTTAACTCCATCATTGTTATGTTGCTTTCTAACATTTTTTCAGTCTCTTTAGGTATCTGAGGTAAATTAGCATTAACTCTTTCTTCATCAATATTCCCTTGCATATATAATTTCCCATAGAAGTCTCGAACGATTTCCTTCTTCTCTTTGCTACCATGGCAAACTTGGCCTTGGTCATCTATTAATTGCAATATTTTCCTTGATTCTTTCTCCTTTCTCAATTTGTATGCTAACCATCTACCTGGTTTGTTTGCGTCTTCAAAGTAGTTCTGTTTAGCACCTCTAATTTTCTGTGCTAATTCTTCTTTCTCTATTAGACCCATTCTATGTTTAGTTATGTCCAATTTCAATTTATTATCTTTTTTCTGTGGCATTTTCTGTAATTCTTTTTCAAGTCTTTTATGCTCATCCTCTAAGGCCTTAGAGCAGAGGTGGGCAACTATGGCCCCTTTATGACTTGTGGACTTCAACTCCCAAAATTCCTGAGCTAGCATGTCTTGCTCAGGAATTCTGGGAGTTGAAGTCCATAATTCATAAAAGGGCCATAGTTGCCCACCCCTGCCTTAGAGGCC